CTAGAACAATAGACAAAGTTCTCATCTCTGTAGAAGTACCTCTTTTCAGTTTCTTTTCTCCCCAAGAAGTCACCACTATGGCAACTTCTAAAATCAAATAGTAGTTTTTCAGGTATTTTTGAACTTTATATATATGCATTATGGTCTCTTTTGTGCCTGGCATTTATTATTTCAACATTTCAGTTATAAAGTTCATCCATATTTATGTAGAAATTTGTAGTTTTAAATTTTTTCTTGCTGTATCACATTCCAATATGTGAATATATCACCATTTATATATCCATTCTCAGTTAGACATTTTGGAAGTTAAAGTTTGGCACTATTATGTGTAGTTCTATAAAAATTCTAATGTATCACTATGTATCTGCTGAATTGTATATGCATTTCAGTTGGCTATAAACCTAGAAATGGAATTACTGGGTAATAAAGTATATGTGTTACACTCTACTAGATATTGCCAAACAAATTACAAAGTAGTTGTATTCTCACTAGCGGTATATGAGAGTTTAAATAGCCCCAATCCTTTATAGCACTTTGGTATATTACATTATTTATTTATTTTTTTAAGTTTAGGCATTTTTTTTTTTTTGAGGGGGGCTTATGTTTGGCATTTCACTGTAGTTTTATGGTTCTTTTTTCTCTGAAAATTAATGAAGGTGAGCAATTTTTCATTATTCATTGTCCATTTAGATACACATTATTATAAAGAGCCTGTGCAAATCTGTTGTTCATATTTCTATGGATTTTCTGCTTTTTTCCTATTGATTCATATAAGTTCTTTATATATTTTGCATTTAACCCATAGCAAAATTTGGGAAGAGTTATCTATAATATTGAATCTTTTATCTCATGAACATTGTATAATCCCTCTATATTTTTAGATTATTTAAATTTTCTCAACAATGCTTTGCAGTTTTCAGTGTAGAAGCCTTGGGTATTTTTATTAGTTTTATTCCTCTGTATTTGATGTTCTTGGTACTACTGAAATGGTAGTTTTATGAATTTCATGTTGTATTTGTTGCTGGAGCATAGGAATTCTTTTTACATATTTACCTTGTATGCTAACTTTGTAATCCAGAGATTTTGCTTAATTTTACTTAGTGATTCTAATAGTTTTCCCAAAGATTCCTTTGGATTTTCTAACAATACAATATTATATGTAAACAATGACAGTTTTATTATTTCTTTGCCAGTCTTATGCTATTTCAATTTCTTACCTCATTGAATGTATTAAAAACTCCAGTACAATGTTTTATCTAAGATTAAGAGAATGTCCTTATCTCATTCTCAAAATCAAGAGGAAATTTTTTATTTCACAATTAGGTGTGATGTTTACTGTAGCCTTTTTTTTTTTTTTAAGATTTTATTTATTTATTCGACAGAGAGAGAGAGAGGGAGAGCACATACAAGCAGGGGGAGCAGCAGAGGGAGAGGGAGAAGCAGGCTTCCTGCTGAGCAGGGATCCCAGCTCTGGGCTCAATCCCAGGATGCTGGGATTACGACCTGAGATGAATGCAGACGCTTAACCAACTGAGCCACCTAGGTGCCCCTACTGTAGGCTTTTTGTAGTCATTTCCATTTTTAGTTTGCTAAGTTTTTTTTTTTTTTTTTAATGAGTGCTAATTGAATTTTATCTGATCTTTCCTGGATCCCTAGATGTGAGCATTTTATTTTTCTTCTTTTATTTTTGTTAATGTGCTGTTAGATTGATTTTTTTTTTTAACAGCTCTACTAAGATTTATTTCACATACAAGTGTACAATTAATTGGTCTTCAGTATATTCAGAGTTGTGCAGTTATTACCACAATCAATTTTACAACATTTCCATCACCCCAAAAAGAAACCCTGTATGCATTAGCAGTCACTCCTCATTTTCCTGCCCCACACAATCCTGTATGCCCTAGGCCTATGCCCCCATTAAAATAATTTTGTCTCTACAGATATGCTTATTTTGGGGCTTTCATATAAATAGGATCATACACATATTGTATGTGACTGGATTTTTTCTTTTAGCACAATTTTTTAAGGCTGATCCATGTTGTAGCATGTATCAGCCCTTCATTTTTAATGCCAAATAATACCCCACTCTGTGGATATATCACTTTGTTTATCCAGCAGCTGGTGGGCATTTGCCGTGTGTCCACTTTTTGACTATTATGAAATACTGTTAGGAATATTTGTGTACAGTCTTTGTGTGAAAGTATATTTTCATTCCTTTTGGGTATATATGTAGGAATTGCTTTTTTTTTTTTTTTTTTTTTTTAAGTAGGCTCCGTACCTACTGGGGCTTGAACTCAGGACCCTGAGATCAAGATCTGAGCTAAGATCAAGAGTCAGACACTTAACTGACTAACCCACCCAGGCACCCTGAAAGTGCTCGGTTTTATGGATCTTGTATGTTTGGGAACTGCGAAACTGTTCTCCAGGGTGACTGCATCATGTTAAATTCCTCCAATGGATGGATAAGGGGTATGGAGTCTCCACATCCTTGCCAGAGCTTGATATTATCTGTCATTTTTGTTATAGCCATCCTAGTAGGTATCGTAGTAGGTAGTGAGAAGTGGTAGCTCACTGTGGTTTTTGAGTTGTATTTCCCTTCTGATTAATGATGCCTGGCTTCTTTTCATGTACTCACTGATTTTTATATCTTCTTTGGATAAATGGCCATTTTTAATTGGGTTTTTGTCTTTTTTGGCTCTTGTTATCAGGATACAATCCTTTATCAGATATGTGATTTGAGAGTATTTTCTGCCATTCTGTGGGTTGTATTTTCAGTTTCTTTATAGTGTCCTTTGACATACAAAGTTTTTAATTTTCATAAGCCCAATTTGTTTATTTTTCCTTTGGTTACTGGTGGGTTTTGTGTTATATCTAAGAAGGCTTTGCCTAACTTGACAATGTGAAGATTTATACTTGCCATATTGTCTCTGCTGAAGAATGTTCCATTTGTACTTTTCATTTCTTTGCTCAAATGTATTCATAATTCCTGTCAACCTAAAAACAAGAAACTAGTTCAAGAAGAAAACATTTATTTGGCATAAAAAAATTACAATTCAGGATGCACATGTTTAGGTAGAAACCCAAATTAAACCTAATTAAAGGAAGTGGACTCAAGTTTTTTATGGAAAAGAAAGATTAGGTAAGTTTTTAAGAAGAGTTCATTGGGGATGACAATCAGGGCTAGAATTGTACTTCATTCATTGGTCAGATGAAGTGATCATTAGGCAAAAGTTTACTTTTATCAGTCTTTTCGTAGAGGATTTTTTCGTTCTTGCCAACATCTTTCAATATTGGTGGTTTGGCTCAGTTCAAAATTTAGAAAACAGGACTTGCAAGGCAGTTCCTCTAATATGGCTCTTCCAGCTCTGTTTTTAAAATGACTCTACCTATGTCATTTTTGACATTCTTTTGTTTTGGTATTGTAAATGGAATTTTATTAATTTCATTTTCAGATTGTTCCTTGTCAATGCATAGGATTTTAATTGATATTTGTGTGTTGATTTTTCATCCTGCCACTTTGCTGAACCCATTTATTAGCTCTAATAATTTTTTGTGAATATGATTTTTCTATGTATAACATTATGTTCTTATACAAATAGAGATAGTTTTACTTCTTCCTTTCTAATATGTGAGGGGAAAATTCTTTTCCATCCTCAAGGTCTTCCAGCTGGACTAAGAATTAAATATACATGAGACATTAACAGGAGAAAAAATCCAAAATTTTATTATATGTGCATGGAGGCCCTATTATGAAGTTGAGACCTATAAAGATGACCAAGGCAGGCAGTTTTTATACTTTTTAGACAGAGGCAATAAATCTGTGAAGAATTGACAGGACAAAGAAAACTTAATTTTGGGAACTTCAGTTGGTAAGAAATTCTAAACAGAATTTGGGCTATGGTAGTAAATTAGTAAAAAGTAACAAGGACTGTTTGTACAGCCTTCCCTGTTCTGAATTTCCCATCTCTGGTGATAAGGGTGTCTCTTTACCTCCTGGTTTGGGGAAGGTACCTTTCACAAGGGGGAATTTATTTGCTGCTTTCAGGGGGGCAGGAGGAGAGTCTGAGTGTCCTTCTTGTATAGGCTGTCTCTTAGGTAACCTTTATTTAATCAGTATGCCAGAGTGGCACATTTTGGGGCAGCCAGCTCTTGGCCCCTGCATATGCATACTTGTTATTTATTTTTCTTTTCTAATTACCCTGACTAGAACCTCCAGAAAGGTTTTTTTTTTGAGATTTTATTTATTTATTAGAGAGAGAGAGAGCACGTGTGTGCTTGTTAACTCACTGGAGCAGGGGGAGGGACAGAAGGAGGAGCAGAGGGAGAGGTAGAAGCAGACACCCCACTGAGCAGGGAGCACTATGTGGGGCTCAGTCACAGGACCCTAAGACCATGACCTGAGCCGAAGCCAGACACTTAACTGACTGAGCCACACAGGTGCCCCCTCCAGAAAGTTTTGATTAGAAGTGGTAGAATAGACATTCTTGTCCTATTCCTGTTTTAGGGGAAAATCATTCATTCTTTCATCATTAAGTAAGGTGTTAGCTGCGGTTTTCTAAATATGCCCTTCATCAGGTTGAGGAAGTTCTCTTTTCTTTGTAGTTAATGTATTTTTATCATGAAAGGTAGTAGGATTTTGTCAAATGCTTTTTCTACATCTATTGAGATGATCATGTGTCTTTTTTCCTTTAGTCTATTAGTAGTGGTATATTATATTGATTACCTTATGTTGAAGTAGTGTTGCTTTCCTAGCATAAATCCCACTTGATAATGGTATATAATCCTTGTATGCTGCTGGGTTCAATTTGCTAGTAATTTTGAGGATTTGTGTGTCTATATTTGTAAGAGATATGGTCTGTAGTTTTTTGTGGTATCTTTGTCTAGGATATCTTTGGTGCCAGGATAATACTGACCTTAAAGAATAGTTAGGAAATATTTCTTTTCCTCTACCATTTATTATGAGTGATTGAGAATAATTGGTGTTAATTCTTCTTTTATAGGGATACCTGTGATTGCATTTAGGATCTCCCAGAAGATAATACAGGATATGCTGGATTTCTTTCAGCAGGAATGACTCCATATATAACTTTACATTTGGTGCATCTGTGGGAGAAGAGGAGTTTGGGAGCCTCCTATGTAACCATCTTTGCAGCTACTCCTGTTTAGATGTTGATATTGTAATTCTCATGATATTGAGGGTTGGATTTTGTTGTGTTCCCTTAAACAATGTTGGATGTTGTTTTAGAGGCAATTACATTATTTCTTACAATCAATATGATTTTTTTTTTAAGATTTTTTATTTATTTATTTGACAGAGAGAGACACAGCGAGAGAGGGAATACAAGCAGGGGGAGTGGGAGAGGGAGAAGCAGGCTTCCCGCTGAGCAGGGAGCCCAATGCGGGGCTCGATCCCAGGACCTGGAATCATGACCTGAGCCGAAGGCAGACGCTTAACGACTGAGCCACCCAGGCGCCCCCAATCAGTATGATTTTTAAGATACTTCTTTTAGAAGAAGTATTTTAGGCTTGGTTTAGATTAATATTTATTCTAAATATGATTTAGTCCCAATAAGAGATGATCTTTTTATGACTTACAGTGGATGCTGCAGCTGTTTAATAAAAACTCTTCATCCAGCTCTGTAGAATTTGAAAGATTCAAGCCTGTTTTGGTTCTAAGAATTATGCATTTTACAGCTTCCCCTATATTCTTTCTCAGCCTCATGGATTTTATGGTATGCATAATGCAGCTAAGTTTAGAGCAAAATATTCATGGGCTTTCTCTTCAGATTTCGTTTAGGTTCCTTTCTCTTCAGATTTCCGCCATAAAAATTTCACCCTCCTGAATCTTCCTAAACTCTAATCTCTGTCTCCTCAACTTAATGTGAACCCCCATGTTGTACTTGGAATCCCATCTGTGCTTCATAGTTCAGAATGCCACCATGCAGAAAACCGAAGTAATTATAATGCTCATCTTACTTGTTTATTTTCCCTGAAGAAACTCAGCACTACCCTTCATGTTGTCCAGTGTCAGAAAACTGTTGTTTCATATATTTTGTCCTGTTTCCAATTATTTATGGCAGGAGTAAGTCTGGTTACAGTTGCTTCTTCATATCTAGAAGCCAGTGTTGTATCAACTACAATTTATTCTAGGAATAAATAAATGATTCATTACCATATATGGAGAGAAATGAATAGCAATAATATTAAAAATTATTGGTTTGAAGAAATATGAGTCTAGATTGAGGTTAAAGGGATGAATCAGTATGAACTTAGAAAGCAAAAGAGAGAAATATACTAAATCCAAGTTTATATAAGAAAACCTTTGAACATGGGGATTCTAAATAGGGTTTATACCAGTACATTTCAACATAAAAAAAAAGGATTTTAAAGGTGAAGTATGTAGAAGGAATATAGGACATCATAGTTGTGATGGGAAGTATTACAGAAATGAACTATTCTGAAACTTGAGGGGATTTGAAGTATATATCTATGGTTAGGTTTATCTACCTATCCATCCCAGGTATATAATAAATTTCATTGAGCTAGTTTGCAGTTGTATTGGTCACAGTGAAGTATAAATTTGTCAGTCTCTAATGAATTGCACCATATAATGGGTGACTGCATTGTGGTGTGTCTAGCATACAGACTTTGAAATCATACAAACCTAAGTTTGAAACTGGGATCTATTAATTAAAAGCTGAATGTTGGAACTAGTATACTCTGTCTTGAGTGTTAATATCATCATCTATAAAAAGGAGGCAGTCATACCTCATTTGCAAATTTATTTTAAGAATGTTAAATAATGTTTGTAAATATGTAGTATTAGGTTCAAAAATGGTCACTAGCGTTATTTTAAAGCTCTGTAAGATAATTCAGTGTGTGTGTGTGTGTGTGTTTGTGTGTGTGTATGTAAAATTAATGTTCTGATCTAAGTTTGTGCTGTGAAATGAAAATTTTGGAAACAGTAAATAATCTTTATTCTCTACAATAATCTACATTACTGTGATTGGCTTGAAATATATTACAGATAATGTCCCTGATGATTTTTATATTAGGTGGCAAAAGAGCAAAATATATACAATTTATATTATACGCAAGAGGGAAAGTCATTTTTTAAAGCTAGTCTTTAAATAATTGGTTATGTTTTTTTTGTTTATTTTTCTTCTTTTTTCTGAGAGGACATACTAAATGATGTGTCAGATTTAAAAAGAACCTTTATACTTTCTTTTTAAAATATATACTTTTTTTGCAGTCTGTTTATGTTATGATTTTAGTGAAATGCCAAACATCTTTTTGCAAGAAGTCTGTGGTATTTATAGACTTAAATTTCTTTTTAGCTCTCAAGAAGTACTGTAAATGGCATAAAGGCTTGATCACCATTTTAAAAATAAATAAACTGGAAAGCATCACAATTGTCCAAATTAATTGTTTTAAATAAATCACTTGCTAATTCTTATATTTAAATTATTTGATATTTTGAAGATGGAAATTGCAGGTTTCTTTTTCATCCCTAGTTATTCTAATAAGTAAGTTGTTCAATCTTTTTTCTTCTAGAGTCAAGCTGGCAAAGTTCATTAAGTGTAGGAGTTTTCAGATATGCCATGTGGGTGTATTAAGATTTTATACAATTTAAAACTTTTTCATGGTTTTTAGAAAGGTTGATTTATCTTTGCCTGCTAAATTATGTATTATTTTATAATATGAATTTCATTTGGTTTAAATTAGGTAAAGTACCCTTAACTGCTCTTGAATTAAGCCTATAAAGAAACATAAACCCAAGAATCATACATTTCTAAGAATGCAAAAGAAGTTGAAGTATATTTAACCTAGTTAGTATCTCTTGATAAGAGAAACTATCAATTCATCATAAGAGCATACTTTTTGTCTTTGGTATTCTAAAATTCTTAATATAAATGAAACCTAAGTTAAAGAATTGTAAATGCCCACCTATTCCAAAAGAAATTAACCCAAATGAATTGGAAATGTTGAGGGGTTATTTTACCAAATGATCTCAAGGTGTCCTACAAACTTGTTATGGACAGTACTAGTTCTGTCTTTTTAAAGGAATTTATTAAACTTTGATAACTGATTCTACTCTTCAAATGCATGGAAATGAGAAAAAAAAATTATGTCATCATGTGTGTAAACCTCCCAAGTACTGCAATGGAAACCTAGAGCAGTGACTTTGTACCACTCAGTTTGAACTGGGCACAAATGTGTTTTCATTCTTAAGTCCATTTTTCTAAACACTGTTTTCCTAAGCAAGAAAGCACAAATCTGTTTTTGTGAGGGGCTTCAAAATGGAATAAAATTAGGGAAAATAAATCTCTGCTTTTGATTCAACCTTGAGGGATATGGAGAATGGAGAAGTTTGGCCTCCAATGAAAGAAAAAAAAGAAAGGGTGGGTCTACTCTGGGGAGCACTGTGAGTTGGCTTAGAAGTTGGTTCTGATGATATGCTTTGGACATCTTTTGTCAACACAGTTAGTACCTGGAGTACTAACCAGATAACTGACTTCTTCTATTTGGGAAAATTGATGAGGACCTTTAATGTTAACTTTCACCATGAGAAATAGAAAACTGAAAATAAAAGTGGATTTAAAAAGTTTCTTATGTAAAGAAATCCAAAGCATGAAACAGAGGTTGATATATATTGATACATATATATATTGATACATATTGTGTTTTTGACACAGTTGCTCTGTTGTGTTCCTCCATCATCTTTGCCTTATCCTCTCATGTCATGCAGCCATGACATCTTTGGATTAATACCAACTTAATTTTAATAGTGTACAAAAACTGCTTCATCCCTTCTAACTCCCTATATGCTGTTATTATCACAAATTATGTCTATGCATTTTCCCCTGTAAACATAGATTTATATTACTGCTTTATACACTTTTCTTTTAAATTAGATAGAAAAAAACCTGCAAATGGAAAATATACTTATGCTGTCTTTTATACTTACTCCTGCAGTTGCCTTTATTGGTGCTTTGTGATGTGGGAAACAAGGGCAGAAGAAAAATTATTAAATTTCTTATCTATAGCCCATTGACAAGTCCTTGAAACAGGCAGAGTGACATTCCTCTAGGGACCCAACTGCCCCAACGTTAATACTTTGCTAAGGTCAAAAGGCAATCTTAGCCCAACCCCCAGGATCCTGTAAGTCTGCTTTAACATATAAAAATTCTTTTGGACACTTCCTTTATCTCTACCCCCCAAGATACATGTTAGCAATCATCCACCAAGCATATGACCCACCGATATACCTCTGTAGGGTCTCATGACTCAGGTTTTATGAGATGGTAATAAATGATGTTTTTCCAACAATAGTTAGCTCCCTCAATGTCCTGGAAAACCTTGCTTCCAAATTCCTCAGAGACTTACACTATGCTTAACCTCCCTCCCATCTTGGAAGTATATAATTGGCCACTCCTCATGACCCTGGTGTAGCTCATTATGCCCATGGGTCCTATCCCTGTGCTTTAATAAAACCACCTTTTTGCACCAAAGACATCTCAAGAATTCTTTCTTGGCTGTTGGCTTTGAACCCTAGCATCTTTCCTACATCACTTTGTATTTCTTCACATGACTCTGAGTTGCTATTTAGTGTCTTCTTTCAGCTTGAAGAAATCACTTTCCTATTTTTGTAGGTAAGTCTACTACTGACTTTTTCCAGAATGGCAGCTTTATTCAGTCATAAAGCAAAATTAGTCACAATTTTTTTTTTTTTTTAGATTTTTATTTATTTGACAGAGAGAGAGACAGCGAGAGAGGGAACACAAGCAGGGGGAGAGGCAGAGGGAGAAATAGGCTTCCCGTGGAGCAGGTAACCCGATGCGGGGCTTGATCCCAGGACGCTGGGATCATGACCTGAGCCGAAGGCAGAAAATTAGTCACAATTTTAAAGCAGGTTCAGGATTCCAAACTCAATGTCATTTCACCATGTGAAACTTGGTTTCTTACACAGCATACAGAGCAGGACATAAGACAAACCACATGACAAACAAGATAACAGAATGTAGGAAGTTAATGAACCAAATGCGAAGTCAGTCTGTGGGTGTGTAGTTGAGATAAGGCTCCCGTCTGGTCTGGGTCAGCTCTCTGCACTTATTGCTTCTTATGTTTAAGCAGTGAAGGATCTTGGTTCTGTTCTGAGATCAATTGGGCAGAGCCTCTGGTGGCAGTTGACTTTTTTAAGTGCTTAGACATAGACAGGTCATGTCTGAAGAATTTGACGGTTTGCTGCCAAAATCTTCCCTTTTTTAAAGTG